TTGTTGCTGGTTTCCGAGAAGTGCTTTCATCGGCGCACATAAAATGAGCTGTGTAGGATGCACAGTCATTCAGTCCCCAGCCGGCGTGCAACAAGGAACGATACTTGCTCCTACACTATCCTGTCAAAATGTGTGACGAAGATGTTGCTGCGTTGGTTATCGACAACGGCTCCGGCATGTGTAAAGCCGGGTTCGCCGGTGATGATGCCCCAAGAGCTGTTTTCCCCTCCATCGTGGGTCGTCCCCGTCATCAGGTAATACACTTCTGTTTTTGTATCCTCACTAATATTGACTCATACAATGGGTCAACTTTACTGGTGCTGTTACGAATATTTTGAATTCATTTTTTCAATATGACGATATCCTATATATGTTTGGCATTTATCATTTATGATGTAGAAGAATGAACTATATGGAATTACTTTAATGTTTAGGTATTGTTTCAAAATACGTTTCTATCAAGGGTATATTAAGCGTATACATAGGTGTATTTAGAGAGTGTAAAAATGATTTCAAGACAATCATCAATTGACAAAACATTTAATGCTGCATAATTCTTTGTAATCTCTTTGTCCTTAAATTAAAAGCGTGAAACTAAATATGTACTGTCAGTAGAAACGTGAGTCTATAAATCTCTGTGTAAACTTTCTTAACACAAAGATGCTATGTTTGTGACGACCGTGGAGAAACGTATTGTATTGTGAAAAGGAAATGTGCATATGGATGGATATAGCATACAATCTGAACGCTCCAGCGAAATGTTCTTAGGTCATCTCAGTCTGAATTTCTTCCAGGGTGTGATGGTCGGTATGGGACAGAAAGACAGCTACGTCGGTGACGAGGCTCAGTCCAAGAGGGGTATCCTCACCCTCAAGTACCCCATCGAGCACGGAATCGTCACCAACTGGGATGACATGGAAAAGATCTGGCATCACACCTTCTACAACGAGCTCCGTGTGGCTCCAGAGGAGCATCCCGTTCTCCTGACAGAGGCTCCCCTCAACCCCAAGGCCAACCGTGAAAAAATGACCCAGATCATGTTCGAGACCTTCAACTCTCCAGCTATGTATGTGGCCATCCAGGCTGTTCTGTCTCTGTACGCTTCTGGTCGTACGACAGGTATTGTTTTGGACTCTGGTGATGGTGTCACCCACACTGTTCCCATATATGAAGGTTACGCCCTTCCTCACGCTATTCTCAGGTTGGACCTTGCTGGTCGTGATCTCACTGATTACATGATGAAGATCCTGACTGAGCGTGGCTACTCCTTCACCACCACCGCTGAGAGAGAAATCGTCAGGGACATCAAGGAGAAGCTGGCCTATGTTGCACTTGACTTTGAGCAGGAAATGCAGACTGCTGCTTCTTCGTCTTCATTGGAGAAGAGCTACGAGCTTCCCGACGGTCAGGTCATCACTATTGGCAACGAGAGGTTCCGTTGTCCAGAGGCCCTCTTCCAGCCATCCTTCTTGGGTATGGAATCAGCCGGTATCCACGAAACAACATACAACTCCATCATGAAGTGTGATGTTGATATCCGTAAAGACTTGTATGCCAACACTGTACTCTCAGGAGGTAGCACCATGTTTCCAGGGATTGCCGACAGAATGCAGAAGGAGATCTCCTCCCTCGCTCCACCAACAATGAAGATCAAGATCATCGCTCCTCCAGAGAGAAAATACTCTGTCTGGATCGGTGGCTCCATCCTTGCCTCTCTGTCCACCTTCCAGCAGATGTGGATTAGCAAGCAGGAGTACGATGAGTCCGGCCCATCCATTGTTCACAGAAAGTGTTTTTAGTGACTGACATTGTATACAATTTAAGACGACACTTTTAATTATTGAGAAGGCTACTATTTGTCATTGTTCTTCTCATCGTTTGAACTGTTGAAATGACAAAATACATTGCATCAGGGCTGCTGATAATGGCTTGAATCTTTGTGTATTGGTCGCACAGTGTCTTTCTCTTTAGGCATTGATACTTTTCGTTGTGTATTAAATGTATTTTTACTCTCTTGGGTTTATTCTATTGGCTACCTCCTAAAGCTACACTGAGTGAGAGGTAGCAATTTTGCTACAGCAAAGTTCATATATACGTCAGGCTGAATTTCGATCAGCAAATAAAGGCATTTTAAGAAATGCAGGTACGCTGACCCAAAGGGCTGTGTTGAGTAATTGCGTGGAACAGTTTTCAAACTGTTTCTGTATGAAGCAACACGCATATTGATAGTTACATGGACACGTAAGCACCGACGTGGACCATACTTTTGTCTTCGTAGATTATATTAACACATACGTATATGATATTTAAAATATGTAGAAGACATTTTCATCTCCGTATATGATATCATAATACTGTGTATCGTCACTAAGACCTGATATTGTCTTTTGGAGTTGTCTCCTTAGATATAGTCCATACAAACGTTGGATAAAGTTCATATAGAATATTAATATGTTTGGCAGCTTGTTGGTCATTAACTTTCAATTGGCCTTGAGGGGTATTTTAATAACTTGAGTGGAATTTTAATAACTTAATACAATCATTTCGAATTGCCAAAAACATAATGCAAAAACTGAAACATTTTTTATTGAATCGTCTATAAAACGTCTAAATGATGACTATATCTAATGTTTATATAAGTAGCACCTTTCAAAGACATGTCAGGTTAAAAAAGTAAAGAAATGATCGGTCATTCTGAATCGAGTTACAGGTTACATAAAAACTGACAATATTGTCACCACAGTCGATAATTCAAAGGTAGATTTATTTATCCGATCTGTATATTATAACAGATGCATAAATACGAGTATAAAAAGGTATTCTTTTAAGTGTGTGGCACTAATGAGCTTCCATATAAAAATGCATCAGAAAATATCCAGTATTTTTATGCTCATATTCGGAAGAAAATTCAATCATGACATATGCAGTCAGCAGATTGACATGTGAATACAAGGATGTTTTGTGAATACAACCTGGTACAGAGGGAAGCCGATATGGTGACTCAGCTGGAACAGAGTATCCGTACATAACATAAGATTAAACACCTACACCTGTTACCTACATATTACTTACAGTGATCATTACACACTGGATCAATCAATCCTTCTGTGTGCAGTATTTGTGGGGGTCAAGTCAGGAAATTAACTTCTCGATAAGTATCGGAACTGGTATAAGCGTTTTGCCTGGCATCAGTGATTGATGTTACTGCCCATCCGATCCAGAAAATTGATGTACTGAAGAGGCGCAGACAGACACGAAGTCAAACAGAGAGAGAGAGAGAGAGAGAGAGAGAGAGAGAGAGAGAGAGAGAGAGAGAGAGAGAGAGAGAGAGAGAGAGAGAGAGAGAGAGAGAGAGAGAGAGAGAGAGAGAGAGAGAGAGAGAGAGAGAGAATTACAGACAGTACAATAAATATATTACAACGCACGTGTGTGCGCACACATATTCTATGGACTCACCTTCAGTGTGGTTGTGTGTCTATATTTCCTGTAATATTTGTCGGGTTACAATTGTTCTTAATTAACCCATGCATGTGGTTGGAGGCGCCTAACGGGATCGGATGTTCAGGCTCGCTGACTTTTATATTTTGTATTTTCGTATTTGCTGTCATTGTATCAGACTTACGAAGACCAATGCTCGTGATGTTGTCTGGTCCAGACTCTCTTATACACAGAGATATGAATATTGCTGACTGCGACGTTAAACAATAAAGAAACAACACGATTATTTGTCAGATATCCAGTCATTATCATCAAACATTAACCTGGTTCAGACCAGGCGGTTACAAACCGCCGCCATACACCTGGAACATTACTGAGCGGGGTGTTTAACAACAAACCAATAAACAAACCAATCAAACGTTTGCCCCTGTAAAAAAAATTTTCTAGATGCAGAAGCTCACATATTTAGAATGTGTGAATGAGCTCTCAGTTTTAAAATGTGTGAATGAGCTCGCATATTCACAGAGTGTGAGTGAGCTCCCATATTTAGGATGCAGTAAATGCTAATTTAACAACACGCATGACCTGAACACAAGGATTCGCATATACTGCTGAAAGAGGTTAAACAGCATAGGATTCTTCTTTCAGTAGTATATGAATGATTGCACATATAAAACTGCTGTTACCGGTTCAGGGGCCTGGTTCACCGCAAATAGCTGGTGCAGCGTTAGCAATATTCTCCCACTTATTCACCCACCTCTAACGAGATCAATGGTGTAACATATGTCAACGTCAGCTGGGCGTATCACAGGTGTACCTACCTGGCAATATATGGCGGGAGGTTGTGTGCTTTACCTTTTGTTGTGCACAACCTTGGGGTTGCAGTCCCTATATGAGTGACCGACAGGGATAAATAACATTTCTAGTATAGACAGAAATAGTCCTGACACATTCGGAAAATATATGCTTATATGCATACATGCTCCGATATAAACAATTCTGAAAGCAGGGAAATAGAATATGAATCCAAACAAGCCATTTATGACACCTGGTGTGTATAGTGATGGTGTGGATGGTACATGTTATATACATAATCAGATGAAAATCATGAAGTATGGGAACGCGAATATTCACATGGAAAATACAGGTACATCCAATACTTTTCAGTGGAGACGAAGTTGCATGATGTGCATTTAGATGGAAATAATACGTAATACAGAAAACTATAAATAAAAACACAATCGTTATTCAGTCAAAGGCCCAAAAATGCCAAAATGTGTCAATCTACAGATGAACATGGTCATTGCAACAACTCTCCTTCTGTGTCAAACCTACCTACCTATCACTGAGAACCTTTACCCGTTCTACCTGTTTTCTATTCCGTGCCCTTACCTCCTCGAAAGACTCGCACAGCTATTGCCACGCTTCACAGGCCTCAATACATGTAGTATGATATTGCCTTATAAGGGGTTTTTGTTGCTGGTTTCCGAGAAGTGCTTTGATCGGCGCACATAAATACAGCTGTGGAGGATGCACAGTCATTCAGTCCCCAGCCGGCGTGCAACAAGGACCGATACTTGCTCCAACACTATCCTATCAAAATGTGTGACGAAGATGTTGCTGCGTTGGTTATCGACAACGGCTCCGGCATGTGTAAAGCCGGGTTCGCCGGTGATGATGCCCCAAGAGCTGTTTTCCCCTCCATCGTGGGTCGTCCCCGTCATCAGGTAATACACTTCTGTTTTTGTATCCTCACTAATATTGACTCATCCAATGGGTCAACTTGACTGGTTTTGTTACGATATTATGAATTCATATTTTTCAGTATGATGATATCCTATACATAGGTTTGGCATTTATCATTTATGATGTAGAAGAATGAGGTATATGAATTTATTTTAATGTTTGGGTATTGTTTCAAAATACGTTTCTATCAAGGGTATATTAAGCATATACACAGTTGTATTTAGAGAGTGTAAAAATGATTTCAAGACAATCATCAATTGACAAAACATTTAATTCTGCATAATTCTTTGTCATCTCTTTGTCCTTAAATTAAAAGTGTGAAACTAAATATGTACTGTCTGTAGAAACGTGAGTCTATATATCTCTGTGTAAACTTTCTTAACACAAAGATGCTATGTTTGTGACGACTGTGGAGAAACGTATTGTATTGTGAAAAGGAAATGTGCATATGGATGGATATAGCATACAATCTGAATGTTCTTAGGTCATCTCAGTCTGAATTTCTTCCAGGGTGTGATGGTCGGTATGGGACAGAAAGACAGCTACGTCGGTGACGAGGCTCAGTCCAAGAGAGGTATCCTCACCCTCAAGTACCCCATCGAGCACGGAATCGTCACCAACTGGGATGACATGGAGAAGATCTGGCATCACACCTTCTACAACGAACTCCGTGTGGCTCCAGAGGAGCATCCCGTTCTCCTGACAGAGGCTCCCCTAAATCCCAAAGCCAACCGTGAAAAGATGACCCAGATCATGTTCGAAACTTTCAACTCTCCAGCAATGTATGTGGCCATCCAGGCTGTTCTGTCTCTGTACGCTTCTGGTCGTACGACAGGTATTGTGTTGGACTCTGGTGATGGTGTCACCCACACTGTTCCCATCTATGAGGGCTACGCCCTTCCTCACGCCATAATGAGACTGGACCTTGCTGGCCGTGATCTCACTGATTACATGATGAAGATCCTGACTGAACGTGGTTACTCCTTCACCACCACTGCTGAGAGAGAAATCGTCAGGGACATCAAGGAGAAGCTGGCCTATGTTGCACTTGACTTTGAGCAGGAAATGCAGACTGCTGCCTCTTCCTCTACATTAGAGAAGAGCTACGAGCTTCCCGATGGTCAGGTCATCACTATTGGCAACGAGAGGTTCCGTTGTCCAGAAGCCCTCTTCCAGCCATCCTTCTTGGGTATGGAATCAGCCGGTATCCACGAAACAACATACAACTCCATCATGAAGTGTGATGTTGATATCCGTAAAGACTTGTATGCCAACACTGTACTCTCAGGAGGTAGCACCATGTTTCCAGGGGTCGCAGATAGAATGCAGAAGGAGATCACAGCCCTCGCTCCACCAACAATGAAGATCAAGGTCATTGCTCCTCCAGAGAGGAAATACTCCGTCTGGATCGGTGGCTCCATCCTTGCCTCTCTGTCCACATTCCAGCAGATGTGGATTAGCAAACAGGAGTACGATGAGTCCGGCCCATCCATTGTTCACAGAAAGTGTTTTTAGTGACTGACAGTGTATACAATTTAAGGAGACACTTTTAATCATTGAGAAGGCTACTATTTGTCATTGTTCTCCTCATCGTTTGAACTGTTTAAATGACAAAATACATCTCATCAGGGCTGCTGATCATGGCTTGAATCTTTATGTATTTGTCGCACATTGTCTTTCTCTTTGGGCATTCATACTTTTCGTTGTGTATTAAATGTATTTTTACTCTCCTGGGTCTATTCTATTGGCTACTTTCCAAAGTTACACTGAGTGAGAGGTAGCAATTTCACTACAGCAGAGTTCACATTAATGTGCAGCCTGAATTCGATCAGCAAATAAAGGCATTGTAAGAAATGCCGTTGCGCTGACCGAAAGGCTGTGTTGGGCAATTGTGACGAACTGTTTTCAAACTGTTTCAGTATGAAGCAACACGCATATTGATAGTTACATGGACATGTAAGCACCGACGTAGACCATACTTTTGTCTTCGTAGATTGTATGAACATATACGTATATAATATTTAAAATATGTAGAAGACATTTTCATCTCCATATAAGATATCATAATATTGTGTATCGTCACTAAGACCTGATATTGTCTTTTGAAGTTGTCTCCTTAGATATAGTTCATACAAACGCAGGATATAGTTCATACAGAATATTAATATGTTTGGCAGCTTGTTGGTCATTAACTTTCAATTGGCCTTGAGGGGTATTTTAATAACTTCAGGGGAATTTTAATACAATTATTTCGAATTGCCAAAAACATAATGCAAAAATTGAATCATTTTAATTAAATAACACTTTAAAACATCTAAATGAAGACTATATCTAATGTTTATATAAATAGCACCTTTCATAGACATGTCAGGTTAAAAAAGTAAACAAATAATCGGTCACCATGAGTCGAGTTACAAGTAACATAAAAACTGACAATATTGCCACCACGGTCGATAATTCAAAGGTAGATTTATTTTTCCGATCTGTATATTATAACAGAAACATAAATACGCGTATAAAAAGGTATTCTTGTAAGTGTGTGGCACTAATGAGCTTCCATATAAAAATGCATCAGAAAATATCCAGTATTTTTATGTTCATATTCGGAAGAAACTTCAATGACATATGCAGTCAGCAGATTGACATGTGAATACAAGGATGTTTTGTGAATACAACTTGGTACAGAGGGAAGCCGATATGGTGATTCAGCTGTAACAGAGTATCCATGCAAAACAGAACATTAAACACCTTCGGTGTGTTACCTACATGATACTTACACTGATACTGATCCGACAGGTGATATGTAACGGCATGTTATCGCCTGTGTTATTGTGAAGTCTGGGAAGAAGTGTTATTTACCGACCTTTATTAATAATATTTGTCACACACAACCTTATTGCTCAGGCGTTTGGTTTGGACAGATTCCGCTGTATTCTCCGTTTGATCAAGCTCGTTGATGACGGCCAACGTGGATATTCTTCTATGCTATCCTGTATTTGTGCATCCACGACTTTATGCACCGCATAAAGAAATAATGGAGCTAATATGTTCATGTACCCTCTGTCGTCATCCGTCACCAGCCGTTCTTAATCGCTGACACACTGAATAAGGTTATCTTAAACATAGATTACATATGGAAAAACAGATATTTATTTTCGCGTATCTGAGTTGTCAGGACAATATTGTGCCCCCTACACGCATACAGCTTCCTTCACGTACGGGTGACGATGATATGGGGACTCGCCTTTGTATTTCTTTTCCATATAGAACACGTGTGGAAAAACACGTTAAATAAACAGGATAAACAGACAGGTCAAGAAGATAGACACAACTTCAACGTTAGCCTATCAAGCGAGGAAGCCAATCCATACATGCATAGTTAACCCTCAAACGTATGCCCTGGGTCTTTGAGGCCCACAAAGGTGTTTTCATGCATACAAAAACTTTAATATTATAAGCACGTTAATTTCGCTTCACGAGAGACCTGAGAAGAGCTTTCTGTAAAATGAGAATATCACTCCACGATTTTGCTATAAACAGGGAAAGGTGTTTGAATGGTGTAAGACACTTAAATACAATCAGTCCTCATTGTTATTGTGGTAGGGAAGATGACCTTCATGTGTTACTTGTTTGTAGTAAATGTTCATCTCTAAGGAGGAGATTTTTGCCAATCAAGTCTGTCATTGCTGCTCAAAGTATGATAAATTTGTTAAATAGTACAAATATGAACGTTACTAAATCTGTTGCATTATATCTAAAATATGTGTTTAATACCAGGTCCCACACGTGACTAAATTGTATTCTGTCGTGTAGTTGTACAATACGCCATGTGGCCAAAGTACTGAATACATTCCTTGTAATATTTATAATGGGAAATATATCAGAATAACAATCGGTGTGATTGCTTTCCATTCTACTTATTTTCTTATTCGGTACATAAGTGGGCCATAGACCCATGGTACATCGTATGACATGGTGAACCATGCACAGCCAGCCTTACGTAACTTGAACGATAAGGGAGGTAACCCCTGCACTCTTGTAAATCAATCGAATTCTTCGCTTTAAGGCTGCTTTTCTTAGATCTATACACACAAGGAAAAACGCAATAGAAAGTTAGACAAACGTTTGAGAGAAAGAAAGTGAGCGAGTCAGAGAGAGAAAGAAAGAGAGACATATATATATATATATATATATACACACACACACACACACACACACACACACATATTATATACAGATACAATAGTACGAAGTTTGACTGACAAGGAGATAATAGACAGACAGACGACACAACAGACACGAGAAGATAGGCCCTCAGTCAAAGTATAAGCAGCTGATCGACCGACTGACGTAGTCAATTATCACCCGTATTGCATCAGTCTATCTATCTGTCATAAATACTGTTACCTATTACCCATTGATCAGTGCCACTACCCAGCATGCCCCTAGCCAGCAACGAACGAGAGTCTATGAGTTTAGTTTTTCGGGTGAAAAGTGAACGCCTTAAGCACTAGGCTAGACCATCATCCCGAGAGTCTATGAGGGATTTGTCACAAAGAATACTGAAAAAAGATTTTGCTAACTGTTGGAAATGTATTCGAATAGTAATGTGGTAGGATTGCTGAAACTGAATATCGGATCCTTAAATCATTTCCTGATAACACACACACGTGTTTCAGAAGAAAGTAACCAGTGAGACCCCACAGCGAGATGCTATGTCGTTCACGTAATAATAATAAGGTGATTATTAGCGTTTGCAACTCGAGGTACACACGTTATGCCGTGTGACGTAACGAAGGTATATCGATGTATAGTGAATGTCTGATCGATAATCCACCTCCCCCCGAGAAGATGCATGGGGGGTCACGTTCAGAACCATGAATCAGCAGGAAAGCTAATGGTGTTGATAGGCAGATGGTTTAGTAGTACGTATATCACATGTGTGTATCGTGTTAATGGTGAACATGATGGGAAGACACAATTTGAATTGTTTCGTTGTTGAATCAATTAATGAATATCCTACCAAACAAACACAAACAAACCCCTAAAAGACACTCGCTAGACCCTCCTCCTAAAGATCTATAAATATGAAAAGGCAAAACAAAGGTAACCTCAAAACCTAATTCAAATATGCTTTAAAAGTGTGTTTTCTCTTCACTTATCCATTCATGTTTGGACCGCCTCCGTGGTGTAGTGGTTAGAGCGTCCGCCCGGAGAGCGGAAGGTCACAGGTTCGATCCCCGACCGCGTCATACCAAAAGACGTTAAAATATGGTACTTGTTGGTCCCTGGCTTGCGCTCGGCTCGGAGTCAGTATAATGTGTCTGAGTGGGGTATTCATGCTTCACTGCGGCATGGTATCTCAGTGGGCTAGCACTATAAAACCAGCTTAAGTCTGGGCCAGTACAAGCAGCCGCACATACACATACACACGTATGCACGTCGTCATATGAGCGAAATATTCTCCAGCACGACGTTAAACCCAATTTCACCTCACCTCACCTCACCTCACCCTTCATGTTTGACATCAACATACACAGCATCACCTGCTCCGTCAGATGAACCCTTAACGTATGAGTGAGTGAGTGAGTTAATATTTAACGCAACATCGGCAATGTCATATCGTGACGAAAACATGCATCTTGTTCCGGCTTCATCTGTTACATTGAGGCTGCGTCGCTTTAGACAAGGGGAAGTTCTGATTATCAACGAGTATACAGACAGGAAGCGTAATAATGCACTTGTTGAAGGCACACACACACACAGAAACATGCACGCGCAGTCTTCATCAGTATGCCAGCCATAAATACTGTAAAGTAGTATTTGCTTTGTACTCATTTAAAAGGGAGTACACATTCACTCAACACACACATTTATGCTCATACACACTCTCCTGTGTACACACACACACGCGCGCGCACAAACACAGACATTTAAGCATTCAAACACACATACTCACTCAAAGCACATCTACACGCATGAACAGCACGCGCATACAAGAACATTTATACATTCAAACACACATAAGCACACTCACACACATGACCACCGAAGGCACACTCACACACATGACTACCGAAAGCACACTCACACACATGACCACCGAAGGCACACTCACACACATGACCACCGAAGGCACACTCACACACATGACCACCGAAAGCACACTCACACACTTGACCACCGAAGGCACACTCACACACATGACCACCGAAAGCACACTCACACACATGAGAAATCTCTCGATAGTCGATTCCAACTACATTTTGTGCATGCGTTTCTTTGTTTTCGACACTCAGCAATATTTCAGTATACTAGCACACATGTGCACATGTACACACATGCTTACACACACGTCTTCAGTCTCACACTTGTACACACAAATGTACACACTCACTCACATACAAATTTTCACAGGCACGTCTAGATGCACATATTCTGTGCTGACTCCTGATAAAATATTCTATATATATATTTGTCTGTGTCTATACACCGAATATATGTATGTGACACAATTAACCTGTGACAGCCTGTATAAACGATATCGACGAGACAAGCTGCTGTAACATGTGACAACGTCAGCTCGCCGTTTCACACAATCTCACGGATACCTACCTCGCTATATATGGCAGGGTTTAGTGTGACAACCATTAGCTTTTGTTGGTCACAGTTTAGGGCCGGTCTAACTTGCTATATGAGTAAACGACAATGATAAGGTACATTTCTAGCATTAATAAATATAGTCCTTACACATCTGGGATGATACCAGTGACCACATATGCTTCGATATAGTAAGTCCGAAAGGCATATCAATAAAATATGAACACAATGTGTTAACTGTGTAAATAGTATGTGCAAGTGGCCAGATGTTAGACTAACGCTTGTATGCTTACTCTTTTCCCGTGAATCTGTCTGTCATATATATCTCCATATATACACAGGGTGTAGAGTAAGCATACAGATTCACAGAGTAACAAGTACATCATATATAAATATATTTTGACCAGAACCGGAAAGTGTAGCCTTGTTTCGGCTTTTGCAAAGCGGACAGGGTTGAGGGAAGGGCAAAATAATGTAACACGGTTACTGTGAGAAGACTGGCCACATGTGTATGGTCGGCAGCTGGTGGCATGGATAGTAGATGTTGCATAATCAGACAAAATGCTGTAATATGGATACGCAAATAAACACATGGTACATAACAGGCATGCTCGATAACTTTGAGATTTATACACAATGTGCATTTAGATATAAGTAATACATAAAAATCAAATATATGAATAAACACATAAACTTTATTTAGGTAAAGACTCTCAATGGCAAACACGTTTGAATTCGGAGATGAACAAGGTCACTACAACACTCCTCCTTCTGTGGCAAACGTTCATTGCATTGAAAGGAGTCACCTGTTCTACCTGCTTTCCCCATCGTGCCCCTCCCTCCTCGAAAGACGCGCTCGCGCACAGCTATTGTCACGCTCCACAGGCCTCCCTACATGCAGCATGATATTGCCTTATAAGGAAGTTTTGTCGCTGGTTTCCGAGAAGTGCTTTGATCGGCCCACATAAATACAACTGTTGAAGATGTAGAGTCATTCAGTCCTCAGCCGGCGTGCAACAAGGAACGATACTTGCTCCAACACTATTCTATCAATATGTGTGACGACGATGTTGCTGCGTTGGTTATCGACAACGGCTCCGGCATGTGTAAAGCCGGGTTCGCCGGTGATGACGCCCCAAGAGCTGTTTTCCCCTCCATCGTGGGTCGTCCCCGTCATCAGGTAATACACTTATGCCATCGTCTTATCAAAATGTTGTGTTATACAGTGGGTCAACTTGACTGGTTTGTTGGGGATATTGTTTTATGTATTTCCAATGACATACATTTCTATATTTTTGTCATTATAATTTATATATCAGATGTGTCATGTTTGGGTACTATCTAAATTGCATATATAATTATATCTTATAACCACGAATGTGGGGAAATGGTTTCAAGACAAACATGTTATGTGTTTAAAATATTCAGACTGCATATTTCTGAGTCATGTCTCTGAGTATCTTGATACTAATACTAAAAGTATAGAAATAAGCATACACCGAGGGCAGAAACCTGATTTAGAATTTTACGCTTCACTGCTAAGTCGATGACAGAATTTTATAATTAGTATCTATAAAAGTCCGTGTAAACTTGCTTAAGACAAAGATACTATGTTTTTGACCACCGTGGAGAAACGTATTGTATGGTGAAAAGGAAATATGCATATGGATGGATATAGCATACAATCTGAACGCTCCAGCGAAATGTTCTTACGTCATCTCAATCTGAATTTTTTCCAGGGTGTGATGGTCGGTATGGGACAGAAAGACAGCTACGTCGGTGACGAGGCTCAGTCCAAGAGAGGTATCCTCACCCTCAAGTACCCCATTGAGCACGGAATCGTCACCAACTGGGACGACATGGAAAAGATCTGGCATCACACCTTCTACAACGAGCTTCGTGTGGCTCCAGAGGAGCATCCCGTTCTCCTGACAGAGGCTCCCCTCAACCCCAAAGCCAACCGTGAAAAGATGACCCAGATCATGTTCGAGACCTTCAACTCTCCAGCTATGTATGTGGCCATCCAGGCTGTTCTGTCTCTGTACGCTTCTGGTCGTACGACAGGTATTGTGTTGGACTCTGGTGATGGTGTTACACACACTGTTCCCATCTATGAGGGTTACGCCCTTCCTCACGCTATTCTCAGGTTGGACCTTGCTGGCCGCGATCTCACTGATTACATGATGAAGATCCTGACTGAACGTGGTTACTCCTTCACCACCACCGCTGAGAGAGAAATCGTCAGGGATATCAAGGAGAAGCTGGCCTATGTTGCACTTGACTTTGAGCAGGAAATGCAGACTGCTGCTTCTTCGTCTTCATTGGAGAAGAGCTACGAGCTTCCCGACGGTCAGGTCATCACTATTGGCAACGAGAGGTTCCGTTGTCCAGAGGCCCTCTTCCAGCCATCCTTCTTGGGTATGGAATCAGCCGGTATCCACGAAACAACATACAACTCCATCATGAAGTGTGATGTTGATATCCGTAAAGACTTGTATGCCAACACTGTTCTCTCAGGAGGTACCACCATGTTCCCTGGTATCGCCGACAGAATGCAGAAGGAGATCACAGCCCTTGCTCCTGCAACAATGAAGATCAAGATCATCGCTCCCCCAGAGAGAAAATACTCTGTCTGGATCGGTGGCTCCATCCTTGCCTCTCTGTCTACCTTCCAGCAGATGTGGATCAGTAAGCAGGAGTACGATGAGTCAGGCCCATCCATTGTTCACAGAAAGTGTTTCTAGAGATATTTGAGTTAGTGTTGCAATATCGTACTTTACATGGTGACATGGAAATCCTGCTTGGACACAATCTAGCAATATCGACAATGTTCGTGCAATCTCAGAAACTATGTGATGTTGGAGGCCGCATCGGTAAACATTCATGTACATTTTTGTTGTTTTCACTGTTTTATCTTTTGAATAAATATGTATAATTATACTTTTACCCTTCTGTATGTTCTACTTTAACATTTTACAAGTTGTTTGGAAATTGGTGCAATGCCCACGTTCCACTTGATTCAAGTTATCTTTCATAGCAATAGAACGTAAGCTGTCAATCGTAGCTGGGCATTAGCTGTGTTATTCACACCCAGCAACGCAATAGTATATCACAGTCAGCTCAGGAGAAAGTATCCAAGCCTCAATGTATGATCAGAACTCCACACTGATCAATGTGGAGTCATATAAGATTCTCAACTTTCTGGGGAGTATACAGCTCAGACTGCCTTTACTCACTTGAGGGTGTTGAATCCACATGATGGTTGGTCATGTCCATATTTCAAGTCACTTGTATCAAGAAAGCACCCGTCGACATGTTACGACGTTTGTTACATACTGTCCCGCGAAGGCAGCTCTGACTTCCATTTAAGTGTAGGCATGTTGGCTCTGTGTTCAAGAATCGCGCAGGTATTGACCACATTCAACAGATGCGACTAACTGTATGTCAAGAGAAGCCCGCACTCTGCAATAGTCGGTTGAAGCAAGATGTTGGGTCGGCTAATGTCTTTGTCAGCCATAACAATTTTATTGGACTTTGACAAATATCGAATATTTCGGCCCAATCTTTTAACAATCACAAACATTTGGTGAACAGTTTATCATCACTACATTTCATTAATAATTATACTATTACACTGAGCAATTAACATATTGAGCAAACTTGTTTAGGGGTCATAAACTATGTACATATACCGTACAATTTTATAGGAAGCCAGTCTTCACTGCAAAGAAAGTCTTTCCGAAAATATTCATGATTCATGACTTCATTTGTTCAGCATGTTAAGGCATACATGGAAATATGTCTTTCCGCGTATATCTGCATTGGGAAATTATAGGCGGATCCAGAGGTGTGTGTATGTGTGTGTGTGTGTGTGTGTGTGTGTGTGTGTGTGTGTGTGTGTGTGTGTGTGTGTGTGTGTGTGTGTGTGTGTGTGTGTGTGTGTGTGTGTGTGTGTGTCCTGAAAGTTTATTAAATGACCATTGAAACTCGGGTGAAAATGAAGTGTGCACCCCCTCTTTTCTTTTCTCAATAGTGTGCACCCCCTTTTCTCAAAAAGCTGCATACGCCCCTGGAAATACAGCTAAACTTCCAGAATACAGCTCCACAGATGGTCAGCCTTTTTACATCTGGCGGTAACCTAGCATCAAACCATACAGCTTGGTGTATCTAATAGTTTTCTTATTTGAAATACATCTGACAAAACTCAACCAAAGAAATATATCTGACGTAATATAAGAAAGTTAAACTATGACATTTCTGTTTTTACGCGTACAGTGAATCATATATAAAACGTTAGAAACAGGAACATGTGTCAGTTTCAATCATTATGACTGCTGTATGAAACTGACATTGTGTTTAACTGTAGAGTAGATCAGGAAGGAAACATACATCAATGTTTCCTTGACACGCATATTGCAGCCTGATACTTGTTACACACAAGGGTGGAGCTTGTCAGCGCTGACAGCTACAAGGGCGTGATGGAGGTTCAAGTGCCACTGTTGCACAGTATTACCATGTAGGGCCTGTAGAATACAAGTATCTTGTGGGTCTGACTGGCGTACATTCGAGTGACCCCATGGGGAACCCGGGTTAGAGGTCGTCCCCAGCAAACCCAGAATACTTGTAGTAAGGGGTGATAGATGGCTCAGGGCCCCGTTTCACAAAGCTATCGTAGCGCTACGACTGTCGTAAGTCTATGTAACAGTATAGGAGGTACGACAGTCGTAGCGCTACGATACCTTTGTGAAACGGGGCCCAGGTTATCAGGCTCTGTAAATTAGTTAATGGATTGTCATTGTACCTCGACACATGGGACATTGCACACAATGGCAGACACTCACTTCTATTGTTTCCCCTAGGCCAACGTTGCATTGGTGGAAAATTGCTCCGTATATGCTTTTGCTGTCTGTACGTGTACTGATGCTAGTAGTAATTCCCTTAATAAGGCGACAAAAGGTTGCTCATAGTGCTTTGAAGCCATTATCACCACGGTCAGTGGATCATTGTGCATCCATCTTCATTCTCTTCTCCCTGGGGAGCATCCTGCCTGAGAAGCCCTAGAAGGTTAACAATCAGATTACCTTCTCTGTCTACTTGACGCCTAATTATTGTTGATATTTCGAATCAAATCTTGAATTATGAAGACGTCATACTCTGCGCAACCAGGGTTGCTTAACTCCGATTTATGGTATCTGCGCTGTACTTGTACAACGTGAAAGTATTGAATGTGACATTTCTCAGTGACATGCACACAGTTCAATACAGTACAACCTCGGTAACCCGGACCTACTGGATCCGGAAACCCGAGTGAGTGAGTTTTACGCCGCTTTTAGCAGCAATATTCCAGCAATTTCACGGCGGGGGACACCAGAAATGGGCTTCACACATTGCACCAATGTGAGGAATCGAACCCGGGCCTTCGGCGTGACGAGCGAACGCTTTAACCACACGGCTACCCCACCGCCATCGGAAACCCGAAGTTGCAGGCGATTACTTTGCTTAGTATATTATAGAGTATATAGACGTGTAACGTGATATTTTGAAAATGATAACGCTGCATCCAATGGCAACAGATTTACTAGATCTACTGAGCTGTAATATATTGGCTTATGATAACCACGCCTTAAGGTTCTCGCAAAGCGGCTGAAAATATGTTTTCCTCAAAATGAGGAGAGGCTGAGTAATATTACAGTATTGACACAGATATTCCCGATATTTCCCACGGCATCCCAGATAGCATTCAGACGTTGGCCCAACGTTGGCAATGGTTTTGCCAACATTGCCAACGTTAAGTTGGGCCAACGTCCGAATGCTATCTGGGATGTGTGAGTGAGTGAGTGAGTTTGGATTTATGTCGCTTTTAGCATTATCATTATTCCAGCAATATCACGGCGGGGGACACGAGAAATGGGCTTCACACATTGTACCCATGTGGGGAATCGAACCTGGATCTTCAGCGTGACGAGCGAACGCTTTAACCACTAGGCTACCCCGCCGCCCCACTACACTTGTGATTACACGGACACATGTGTGCAGGAAAGTTTTAAATCAGATCCTTGAAATTCAAATCAACTTAAAAAAAGTGATATCAATACTGAGCCGGAAGTCAGCGTTTCGCAGTCTCAGCCCGGTGAGTCATTGGACATAGGGATAAGATATGAAACTAATCCTGCATTCAAATACAAGGACCTATATATATGATAAACCTATGATTTCTTGGTGCAATTAGGAGGAATTTTCGGAGGAAATATGCGAGTATCTTTAGGAATGAATGCAAATGTTTCATAATTTGATACCACTTAGAAAATGAGTTTCTGTATGTAATCATTTAAGACTTTAGTACAGAGGCGATCCGACACGTGCACAACATAGTTTCAACTGAGGGATCCCCTATATATGTTTACTTAACGGCTCCCGAGCATGCGCAGCGATCATCTGAACACGTCACTTGTGGTCGAGAATTGTTTCCGTCTTGATTGGAATGTAGTGTGCACTTCAAAGTGTGACAGGGAAAGTTCGACTACGTCTTCAAGTGCAAAAACATAAGTAATCTTACATTCAAAGTTTGAAATGTGATCCGGATTTTGTATGCACAATTCAAGGTTGTGCATCCCCAAGATACCCAAACCAAATAACCCAGATAAAGCTGATATTAGTTTATTCAGATAATTGCCAACTTAACTTAAGAGTAATGACCCAACCTAAGTATTGAAGGGAAATGTACAGGGAGCAGTCTGAATACACCTAATATCATATCCGCACTTTCCCTCATTGTAAGTTCATTGAGCCGTGCATCCTTTTATACCAGCTGAATACGGTTAATTATAGTCCCTCAACTCGTCGGGCAGGGTGCCCGGTACACTCGATTCTCGATATGTCCTTTTAAGGATATTTTACTGATGCAGCAGGCTTTCTGTTCAATTCAAATACTGTTGAAGTATTCAAATGATTAAAACGATTCAGTGAAGCGGAACACATTAAAGGACAGGAGAACATTCTTGTCTGTTCAGGTACACGCTTGAGTCACTCACGCCGGCAATACACCACTTGGTGACTATCGCCTTAGTCAGCACAAGTTGGAATGTGACTGAACAAGAGAATATGATTCAGTGATTAGTAACAGGAACAAAGACGGTAATACAGTGTAAAGCGCTCGTACAAACCTTTAGAAAAAAGGCTTCGATTTTCAATAAATAATATATTTCAAATTGGGATTTTGAATTAACATATTGTCTCCGTTATAATCTTCTCATAGTGTAAAAACTATATGGTGCGTGAAGCATAAGTTGAAACACACTGTGCAAACATTAAAATCATCGCATCCTTGATTGACATTTTAAAAACATACCACGCACATACACACGCACGCACTCAGGCAATACGAAATACACACGATTAGATGTACAAATGAATGCCCGCCAAGTGCATGTCACCACAGACAGGACATACACACACTACCAACTCTCACATACCACTCCCTCGCACGTCACCAACCCTCACACCCACCACAAACACACATGCTCGACATATACTTCACTCTCATCACATACATCACTCTCTCTGTCCATCTGGCACGCACGCACGCACACACATACACACACAGAGTGCACGCTCGAGAATGACCCACGATCACATCCCACCCATGTGACTACGGTCGGCTACACAGGTGTTCAGGGAATGTCTATGGGAGAAGTCCCCCGGGCTAGTACAAGTGTGTGTTAGCGAGGCTACAGTAAACACAGGTTATGGTTGCATTCACTGAAGGCCCCGTGTCCTCCACGGTGTAGGCCCCGTACGTTTGCTCAGATCCGACATGTTTGGGGATTAGATTTACTGTGTATGACCTTCACTAGAAAACACACTCTTAAATATTTCGTCTGTTTTATTTGCGTATGTATAGTTAACCAGCGTGATTCAACAACCGCCCACGATTACTGCCCTGTACACTATTCTATAGTCACGTGCGTGTAATGGCAAACATTGCTTGTAGATAGTCACGAGCACATTATGTCAAACAATGCTTGTAGTCACGAGCACATTATGTGAAACAATGCTTGAACAGCATAATATCGCACCAGACGATATCACGTGACTCATACACTCAGACGGGAATGTATAAACATTATTATGACTTTCGTTTGAAACAATCATTCAAAATTTGCGATGGCTGCCATGCTGATCCAGAGTCTCAGATACTCGGTCCTGACACCTTTCTCCAGTAACACATCACGCGACAGGAACTTGCCAATATCAGGTTGCAGTACATCCATATCATGGAAGTGTCATAGCACTGTCGCAATCAGCGTCACAGCTGTATCACCGAGGCTTGCATTTGACCTATTAAGGCTGCATCACAGAGGCTTGCAGCAATTTGATCCTATTGAGGCTGCATCACAGAGACCTGAACTGAGCAATACCATAGCTATATCATCGAGACCTGCATTAGTAAATATCACAGCTGTATCATTGAGACCTGCATTAGTAAATACCACAGCTGTATCATTGAGACCTGCATGAGTGAATACCACAGCTGTATCATCGAGACCTGCATTAGTAAATACCACAGCTGTATCATCGAGACCTGCATTAGTAAATACCACAGCTGTATCATCGAGACCTGCATTAGTAAATACCACAGCTGTATCATCGAGACCTGCATTAGTAAATACCACAGCTGTATCATCGAGACCTGCATTAGTAAATACCACAGCATCGAGACCTGCATTAGTAAATACCACATCTGTATCATCGAGACCTGCATTAGTAAATACCACAGCTGTATCATTGAGACCTGCATTAGTAAACACCACAGCTGTATCATCGAGACCTGCATTAGTAAATACCACAGCTGTATCATCGAGACCTGCATTAGTAGATACCACATAGTGACTGTACCCTATTTCGCCTGTTGTCAATCTCAGCCTAATGTTGACGCTGTAAGTGTTGTACATGGGTAAATGCTGCAGGCATGTTCATGATCAAGTAGCAGACAATGAAAGTGCTTATTGAACTTCTATTGCTGTAGATAAATCCCCTTTTAAGAGTGATTGTGGAAAAAAAACCTGTTGAACAGAAAGCGCAAGAGCGCTTCACCAGGGAGCAGTCCCGAACTAGAAATATACTACCCAAAGGAAGCTAAGGACACCGGATTCTCTCATGTAACTACAATTTCTCCGACATGTGAACGAATCGAATTGTCCTTAATTTCTATTGAGTGCTATAAGATGATGTTTAACATTGGTTTTACCGTTAGTTTTGGTGTAAGCGTGTACAGTGTGGGGACCTTTTCACCGTCGGAACTTACATGCAGGGTGATGGACGTCATAATCTCTAACATCCCAGTTGGTGGGTTGGGAGTGCTGTAATGAATCGATTATATCTTGAAGGTGAAGTTAGGTCTCATTTCACCTAACCTCATGTTCGTACAATGTTAAGTATACAATGGATGTGTGATTGCGTCAATGCGTTACTGATCCCCTTTCACACTCAAGCCAACCAGCCGCCCAGCTCAGGCACCAGCTGTAAGCTGTGACAATCGGATTACCTTTCTCTTCATTACCAAACTTACGTAATGCCTCACCAGCAGACCAAGACTTCAATTACAAACATCCAACAGAATGGATCTCTGCTAATAGTCATTTGTGTACACGGAATAATGAGTAATTATTGAGCATTCTCAGTGTGTATAGAAAGTAATTAGCTGCAGGATTAATCTACATTGGAAAATATGATTTGGCATATCTACAAAATGACGTTTAACTTATTGCTTTATTTTACTGAAAATAGATTTTTATGAATATTTACGTTTAAGCTGTACAGGCTAAATGTCCTTTTTGGCAAACATCAGGCACATATATTTTCTTTGTTAAAAGAGAATTGTTATGACATTATTATTGAAATATAAGTGTAAAAGTGTCACAGTGCCATCACGCGGCCCGCAGACAGCATGAACGCTATATACAGCCGTGGTATTGCTACTCACCACAGGGACCTATTGTCTTACTAAAACAGTCTACCATTTTTAAAAAGATAATCCGAATAAAGACAAGTAATTGTATAAAAAGTTTACACACCTTAACACTCATTAAGAGTATTATTTCTTACCATTTTCTCATTATTTGAAAGACATCACCTTTAGCTAATGTTACACTTTTTTAAACATATTCATTCATATACAAGCTTTGGAAATATGTCGTTGTACGATTTACATCGTCCCAATAGTCAAATCTAGCTAGCCATAGTTCTTTCATATTGTACTTTGCTTTGAGCGTTGCTTCCCGGATGTGTTAGTGTGTCACTTTAATCAACATTTCAGTGCTATTGTGTTTTAACGGAGCTGTCAATAGCACTGACCCTAGTTCGCCTTGATTTAGAGCCTTGCCCTCGAATGACTGATATACTCCTTAACAACGCCGGTGGCTACACTGAAGGGTGAAGAATGGCTGCCAGGACGATAATGACCCTGTCCTGAGTATGTGTTGTTGTCTTACATCTCAAACACTCTCCGTCCCCTGGGGTACAGAAAGTAATACACCCCAGAGGCCCGGTTGTAGGTAAATACGATTATGTAACCAGCACTCTATTGTCAGTGATCACAGAGGACCGCTCAGGGCGAGAGCGGTCGACCAAGTCAGCAGGATGGGTCAGGGTGACTCAAGATTTTCAGGCAGCTTCATTAGCGGCAAGGGGATTACAGCAATCAATCCTCTCAGGTTTGGCACTTGATCTTGTACAGGTCACGTGACATGACCTAATAAGGTGACCTGTCAATCAGGTATAGTTGAAAGGCAAGAATCAGTCCGTTATTTAAGGGCCGGCTAGCGGAGCGAGAGGACGTCTGAGGGTCACTACCGTGTTCACTGTTACAGCTTATACCCATACACTATGGATGACGATGTTGCTGCGTTGGTTATTGACAATGGCTCCGGCATGTGTAAGGCCGGGTTCGCCGGTGATGACGCCCCAAGAGCTGTTTTTCCCTCCATCGTCGGCCGTCCCAGACATCAGGTAAGTTATTAAGCTTGTAAACATTTCAAGTACGTAATAATAATATCTCCGACCAAACACTCTGCCATGAAATTGCAAATCTTCCAAGTGTTAGAACTGGTTAACATTTTCCCAAATATATAGACACATTCAGATATTATCACATGGTTATATCATATAGTTTAGGAGTGGTTATAGACGATCAATTAGTCTCTGAAAATACATCACTTTGGTATAAACATGCAACTACTTAACAATTAAAAAGGAGCACCTGCGAAATGGAGATTGTGAATCTAGACATGTTTCAGGGATCAGGCACTACCCTAGGGGAAAATAATGGGGCTCAGTGTATTGTGACACAAACTAGATTGGTTGAACTACTGGGAGAGCGCAGTAATTGAAACGTTTTATTTACAGAAACCATTATACATTAAAGTATTATTGTTTAAGAATAGGTAAACTATAAGAATGACCAGATAAACTCACATCTTTGTCTGTAATTCATCAAAAGAATAAATGATTTTACAGCCTGGGCATCCCCCATTCCTTGAGTTGTATATTGATATGAGGATCTGTCGTGTCAGATGATAACATAGGTGTATTTACACAGGTGCTGTCAGTAATTGACATTTACATGTGAGCGGAAACAGAACATTTAGCTACTGAATCCCAGTCATTGTAAGAACAACTGACATTGCTTGGGCTTTTGATCTTAAGTCCTAACACCGCGGGACTGTCTGTCGGACAGTTACCAATGATATTAGACTACACCTTATGTATTCCTTCTGTCATGTGAGATTTTACAGTTTCTGTACTTGCTCTAATATGTAGTTCAACATATCTTTTCTTATCTGTCGTGTGCAATATTCCATGTGCATTATTATCAGGGCATATAGTTCCTTACCGTAACGGCCTGTTGACGTAATTAACCAATTTGGTCATGTGGACAAAGCGTCCTACTTCCGATCACGGGACTTGGAAATTTAATGACCTCTGCAATTACATATAACTGAAATAGACATGTATATGGAATATTGTACGTTTATCCCTTGCTACATATGCTATACTTAATTTGCTTTCATTGTCGTGAATTGATATTTAAGATATCCGCTTTACATTTGTTTCAGATCTTTATTATATGTAATGCTTCAATGTCTTTGCTTCCAGGGTGTGATGGTCGGTATGGGACAGAAAGACAGCTACGTCGGTGACGAGGCTCAGTCCAAGAGAGGTATCCTCACCCTCAAGTACCCCATCGAGCACGGAATCGTCACCAACTGGGACGACATGGAGAAGATCTGGCATCACACCTTCTACAACGAGCTTCGTGTGGCTCCAGAGGAGCATCCCGTTCTCCTGACAGAGGCTCCCCTTAACCCCAAGGCCAACCGTGAAAAGATGACCCAGATCATGTTCGAAACCTTCAACTCTCCAGCTATGTATGTGGCCATCCAGGCTGTTCTGTCTCTGTACGCTTCTGGTCGTACGACAGGTATTGTGTTGGACTCTGGTGATGGTGTCAGCCACACTGTTCCCATCTATGAAGGTTACGCCCTTCCCCATGCCATCATGAGACTGGACCTTGCCGGTCGTGATCTTACTGATTACCTAATGAAGATCCTGACTGAGCGTGGTTACTCCTTCACCACCACTGCTGAGAGAGAAATCGTCAGGGACATCAAAGAAAAGTTAGCTTACATTGCTTTAGACTTTGAGCAGGAAATGCAGACTGCTGCTTCTTCGTCTTCATTAGAGAAGAGCTACGAGCTTCCCGACGGTCAGGTCATCACTATTGGCAACGAGAGGTTCCGTTGTCCAGAGGCCCTCTTCCAGCCATCCTTCTTGGGTATGGAATCAGCCGGTATTCACGAAACAACATACAACTCCATCATGAAGTGTGATGTTGATATCCGTAAAGACTTATATGCCAACACTGTTCTCTCAGGAGGTACCACCATGTTCCCTGGTGTCGCCGACAGAATGCAGAAGGAGATCACAGCTCTCGCTCCTGCAACAATGAAGATCAAGATCATCGCTCCCCCAGAGAGGAAATACTCCGTCTGGATCGGTGGCTCCATCCTTGCCTCTCTGTCCACCTTCCAGCAGATGTGGATCAGTAAGCAGGAGTACGATGAGTCCGGCCCATCCATTGTTCACAGAAAGTGTTTCTGAGCCACACTCGGTGTATTGTTGGACATGTGCAATATTCAGTCAAGAATATCTACACAACCCGATAATTTATCGGTTTCTCTGAATAATATGTTTGTTTTTTCCAAATAAAGTGATAAAAATAAGCTTTTGTATACTTTGTCTTTACTTTGGTAGATGTTGGAAGGTATATACACGTTAGCAATAACAGAAGCTAAACGCCAGATAACATCGTATTCTTGAATATCTCCGTAAACAGAATGTATGAAGCTTATAGAGGTAAAATAATGCGGAAAATGGTGACATCAGGACCTGGCGTTCAAGCACAGGATAAGCATTTTCATGCGTTGCCATTAGCACCAGCCTCTCTCCGAATTGCCATTAATATAGGTGCCAATGTGTAAGCAGGTATAAAGATAAGGCGCCGTCTTGCTATTTGTGAAGATCGCAGTATAGAAGAGCATTTTGCATTGCAATTCACGTTGCCTCAAGTTGCAATATATTTTTTTTCATTTTCTTATGTGCGCTTGCACCTATTACAGTTAGATGTTGGGGCATTCTCATGATTGCTAACGGGACGTAGTATCTACGGTTACATAATACCAAACCAATATACAAACCCCCGCCGTGTGGATAGTACATTGTCCTGTTCGCTACGCGACTCCAACTTTGTTTAGGAACCATCTTTAATCTATCTGTGGAATGTACTTTTCCTGTTGTCAAACTCTAGCCATTACGTTATGTATTACTATATTGCTTTGGACACAAACTATTCATGTTATCAACCAACATCCACTTCTGAGAGGGACTTCATAATCCAAAGTCCAAAGCGTGTTCTCGCCACGTTGGTGCCTATTTGATCCCATTGCAGATAACGAATAGTCGACAGAACGCGGACACAGTGAAGCATCCTTGTATGCTTCCATGGTTTAAGTACATATATTGCAGGGGGATACTATATCTAAATGCAAACTTAATGTAAATATTATATACTGACATATAGCTTTAAGTTCTGGATATGAGGCGACTAACGGGATCGGGTGGTCAGGCTCGCTGACTTGGTTGACACATGTCATCAGTTCCCAGTTGCGCAGATCGATGCTCATGCTGCTGATCACTGGATTGTCTGGTCCAGACTCGATTATTTACTGACCGCTGCCATATAGCTGGAATATTGCTGAGTGCGGCGTAAAACTAAACTCGCTCACTTAAGTTCTGGATCAACGACATACTAGTTTTGATACTTAGATCTACAAGACTTAGTAAATAATTTACTTAATAAATGAAAAAGTGGAGCTCACTTATGAAAATTCAAATACACTAGTATTTGTGGAGGGTTTTACAGCTCTCTGTTGTCAGTAAGTGAGATGCTGGCATGGGTATTCTTATAGCAAACACTACGTTAGGAATGATGTGATTTGTATCAACGTTCAAAATGTAAAACTCTGAGGGTCTGAGGAGTAATAATCTCCAAGAACGTCACGAATTTACTACGGGCTAACTGAACTGAAGATGTGGAATGGACAATGGATGTTTGACATTGTGTGATTTGAGTTTTAATTACTAGTACATGTTTGCATGACACCTTATGAATTTTGTGGAGACAACTTTCGATCTGTTGAAATCACGCTCGCTCCATATTTACATCATACTCACCCTACTCACATCATACTGAAAAACATACTCCCACCATACTCATATCATACTGAAATCAAACTCCGACCATACTAACATCATACTGAAATCATACTCCTACCATACTGAAATCATACTCCCACCATACTCACATCATACTGAAATCATACTCCTAATATACTCACATCATACAGAAATCATACTCCCACCATACTCACATCATACTGAAATCATACTCCCACCATACTCACATCATACTGAAATCATACTCCCACTGTACTCACATCATACGCTGACTAACTCACATCTTACTCCTACCATAATAACATCATACTTAAATCATACTCCTACAATACTAACATCATGTTGAAATCATACTCCTACCATACTAACATCATACTGAAATCATACTCCCATCATACTAAAATCATACTCTCACGATACTCACATCATATTTTAATCATACTCCCACCATACTCACATTATACTGAAATCATACTCCCACCATTCTCCCATCATAATGAAATAATACACCCACCATACTCCCATCATACTGAAATCATACTCCCACCATACTGAAATCATACTCCCACCATACTCACATCATACTGAAATCATACTCCCACCATACTCACATTATACTGAAATCATACTCCCACCATTCTCCCATCATAATGAAATAATACACCCACCATACTCCCATCATACTGAAATCATACTCCCACCATACTAAAATCATACTCCTACCATACTAACATCATACTGAAATCATACTCCTACCATACTCACATCATACTGAAATCATACTCCCACCATTCTCCCATCATAATGAAATCATACTCCCATCATACTTAAATCACACTTCCACCATACTGAAATCATACTCCCACCATACTCACATCATACTGAAATCATACTCTCACCATACTCACATACTGAAATCATACACCCACCATTCTCCCATCATAATGAAATAATACTCCCACCATACTCACATCATACTCCTACCATACTAACATCATACTCTCACCATACTAAAATCATACTCCTACCATACTCACATCATACTGAAATCATACTCCTACCATTCTCCCATCATAATGAAATCATACTCCCACCATACTCCCATCATACTGCAATCATACTTCCACCATACTGAAATCATACTAAAATCATACTAAAATCATACTCTCACGATATTCACATCATACTGAAATCATACTCCTACCATACTAAAATCATACTCCTACCATACTAACATCATACTGAAATCATACTCCTACCATACTCACATCATACTGAAATCATACTCCCACCATTCTCCCATCATAATGAAATCATACTCCCACCATACTCACATCATACTGAAATCACACTTCCACCATACTGAAATCATACTCCCACCATACTCACATCATACTGAAATCATACTTTCACGATACTCACATCATACTTAAATCATACTCACACCATTCTCCCATCATAATGAAATAATACTCCCACCATACTCACATCATACTCCTACCATACTAACATCATACTCCCACCATACTAAAATCATACTCCTGCCATACTCACATCATACTGAAATCATACTTTCACGATACTCACATCATACTTAAATCATACTCACACCATACTCACATCATACTTAAATCATACTCCCACCATTCTCCCATCATAATGAAATCATACTCCCACCATACTCACATCATACTGAAATCACACTTCCACCATACTGAAATCATACTCCCACCATACTCACATCATACTGAAATCATACTTTCACGATACTCACATCATATTTTAATCATACTCCCACCATACTCACATCATACTGAAATCATACTCCCACAATTCTCCCATCATAATGAAATAATACTCCCACCATACTCACATCATACTCCTACCATACTAACATCATACTCCCACCATACTAAAATCATACTCCTGCCATACTCACATCATACTTAAATCATACTCCCACCATTCTCCCATCATAATGAAATAATACTCCCACCATACTCCCATCATACTGAAATCATACTCCCACCATACTCAAATCATACTCCCACCATACTCACATCATACTGAAGTTATACTCTCACCATTCTCCCATCATACTCCCACCATACTCCCATCATACTGAAATCATACTCCCACCATACTCCCATCATACAGAAATCCTTCTATTATGCGGTCTCTGCTGTTAGTTTGTAAGTGAAGTATAACGAATAGAAACGGAATAAATAAACACCTGGTTCAGCGTCCATCCCCTGAAGAAAAAATCCCTGTCGGCGGTGACAGAGAAGATAGACGAATGGTCAAAACTGAACCTTTGTTGAGTAGGTGATAAATGTATCGAAAGGTAAGTCTACCACCCACTCCGTCCCCTGCGGTGCAGAAGGTACCACGCGCCCGTGGGCCTAATAGGTAACTAACATTGCGTAACTAGCATTCTGTCAGTAATCACAGGGGACCGCTCGGGGCGTATGTGCTTCGCCATGCCCATCAGCGGGATATAGTGTGCGTGTGCGTGTGCGTGTGCGTGTGCGTCTGCGTGTCTGCTCCACCCGTGGAAACTCCTCATTAAAACAATCTAAACATTCGAGATATGGTTCAAGTCAAAATATGGAATTGCGGATTTCGGTTATTGCCACTGATGCGTAAATGAATAAGAAGCAGATGAGGCTGTCTTATTGATCATCTTTATTTCTTTTCTAGTTCAGGTGAGTAAATCAGTAAATAGGTGATGGATAGTTTCTGAACGATATCATATCATCGATTCACTTAAAGTTACCTTCTGGCCAAATTACTTTGGTTTGACTAAACTAATCCGAGGAAATGTAGATTCCAATACATAAAGAAACAACTCCGCAAGACAGGGAGCACCATTGCCCTCCATGGGGGTGCCTAATTCTTGTCTTAACCCAGTAAGCTTTTCACATGCTATGAAACTGAAATTATGTAGGATCAGCTAAATCCTCTATTGACCTGTAGCTGAATAAACACTACAAAACGCTTCAAATGAAGTCCCTCCATTATATATATTAGTTCATCGTACTATTCCGTACGGAAGCGCTGAAGGGACCTCATGAAATAAAAATTATCTTGAGCACACAAGTTACATATCTTGAGCGCTCAAGTTAATATCTTGAGCACACAAGTTACTTATCTTGAGCGCTCAAGTTAATATCTTGAGCACACGAGTTACTTATCTTGAGCGCACAAGTTAGTTATCTTGAGCGCACAAGTTAGTATATTGAGCGCACAAGTTAATATCTTGAGCGCACAAGTTAATTATCTTGAGCGCACAAGTTAGTATCTTGAGCGCACAAGTTAGTATCTTGAGCGCACAAGTTAATATCTTGAGCGCACAAGTTAGTATC